ATATGTCAATACTAATAAGTTCAATACCCTACCAATTAGATATTATCCCAAATATTCAATATTAATTACGTACTAAGTTACTGTGAGAATACTTTCTATTTGGATATAGTTTTACTATTTTTACTTGTTACTGGTCGTATTAATGTCTCTATTGTATTTTTTTAATAATAATTTCATTACTTGAATACTTCATTTGGATCATTGCAGTGAGAATAATGAACTTTTCAGGAAATTAATTGATTAATATCCAAAAGAGAAAATCCAAAATATTCAAACCGATTAATCCGAAACCGAACTTAAAAAATTCGATCCAATCCGTACTTATTTAGATTGGAATTGAATTGTCATTTCTTCAATCCAAAAATCGAATATCCACACCGAAATTTTCAGATACAATCCGAACTGCCTGAACGCCCACCCCTACCACTTGCTAATATCATGTACAATGGCAAAGCCACAATAGAGTAAAAATTGGTATAAATATTTTTTTATTATATAATAAGTGAGGAATATTAGATTAAGTCGCATTTTCAAAATTTTGAATCTCATTATTAAATTATTATTGGTTTCACCATTGATCACGTAAATTCGTTCTAACACTTAAGTGATGCAAAATGAAATTAGCAACTACAAAATCAATCACATTCTAGCTTGATTTTAGCTTTTCTATATAAAATTCATAAACTGAATATTTTAGAATTTTCAATGGTTTAATTATTGTATTTTAATCATAGTTTATGCTTGTATACACGAACCTTCCATAATTTCATCTGAGAACAGCTAAGATATCTTCTAAAGTGCGAATCTAATCTCAAGTTGTTCTTTAAGAAGCTGTCAATTCTCTGGCTTTGGTTGGTCAATTAATCTACCTTTTTATAAATAATTTTTTAATACAATTTGTTCTAGTTAAAAATTCAATTTACACTCAGGAAAAAAAATAATGATTTTTTGAAGACGGTGGCAAGAATACTGATTATATATGAATTTGTACTTTTGATTATCCAACCTGGATTTATTGGAGTAAATCACAATTTATCGTATTTTATTTGTTTTTCCACGTCAACCATTTTTTCCCTTTTTCTTTTCTTCCGAATGTAAATTTGTTCTTTTCTCTATAATTAGGTAGATACATTGTCTTTTCGCTAACCAAAGGTTATGGTGAAATGAATCAGATTTCTCCGTCCTTAACCAGAGGTCTCGGGTCGAGCTTTAAGAATAAAAAAATTTATTATAATGAGTGCTTCCTTCTATAATGGATCTTATGCAACATGAGTCCAGATTAATTGGGACGCCAATAGGAATATTTGACACCGGATATAAACCAAAAGAAAAACATAAGATATATTACATTCATACCTCGCTATAACAACATCTCTATATAACAACACTTCATTATAAAAGCAAGTTTTTCGGAACCAATTTTTATGTTATGTTATAATATATGTTCTCTGTTACAACACTTCGCTATTACATTCAAAAATATTCGAAACAAACGAGTTTGTTATAGAGAGGTTTGACTGTACCACGACTTAAAATTTAGTAGTATTAATTAACAATGTAAACAAAGTCAACAAATTACGTAAGTTTAAAGGGAGGAAATAATGACATTTATCTGATCTTAATGGTTCCGTTGATTGAATTCTACTGAAGTTTCTGTCCAACGGTCGGAGAGAAAAATTAAGAAGCAATTAATGTGTTTCTAAGATTCTCAAGAAATTAAATAAATCTCATAAAACTCCAAATGTTTATACTTTATATTATAGTATTTTAGAAAGGAAAAAAAAAGAACACCTCCTTGAGAAACGCTCTTAGTTAATAATGGTATAGTAAGTTTTAGTTTTGTTATTTATTGTGGAGCAGTTATATTTTAACTAATACTTCCTCCGTCTTATATTATTAGTCGTGATTACTAAAAATAATTATTTCAAATTATTTGTCACTTTGGAGGTTCAAGACAAAATTGATTATCTTTTTCCTTTTTCATCCTTAGTAATAATTATCCCCAAAGACTACATACACCTAACTTTGTTCAAATACCAATGAAAAAAGATTAAATATTAAGACATGAATAAGGGTAAAGTAGTCAAAATTTCATCCTAATTAATTTTCTTAAGGGTCGTGTATAAGAGAATCATGACAGATTATATAAGACGGAAGGAGTAATTTATCATCATTTTAATTAACTGCGTGTGTTGGAAACCATAAATGCAACATCATATAAATAGGGAATAAAATTATTCAAATTTGCTATATACACCAAACCACATTAATTTTGTAGGGTTAAGTGTTAAATCAACGTGAGAATATTACTTAATCATAATTATATAATAAAAATATCTTTAAAATATCACGTTTTAATTAATTTGGTGTAAATATTATATGCAGTTTAGTTTTTTTATAACCGTGATGTCCAAGCAAATTTGCGTGCATATCAACTAATTTTACGGGGTGAAGAGGTCTTTTGGCAAGTGAGATGAATAAGGCATTACGAGGGCTCTTTTTCCACTCTTTTTTAATTTATGATTTATAATTAAAAAAACATATAGTAACATTTTTGACTTTCTATTTGGGTGGAAAATGTTTCCATTCAAAAGCTTATAATATTTCCAAACTTTGAATGACAGTTGTAGAGATACGTTGCACATGTTATCTTTATTGCTTTTCCAGTGAGACAAAAGGAATTAATAATATATATTTTTTCGCATCTGGTATTTAGTATCCGCTTTGAATCTGGAGTAATCCGAATTCATGTGATATAAGACCTATTAAAAGGGGAAGCGGCTCATACCAAGATCTTTTCAAATATTAAGGGAATTCTATTTGACAATAGTAATATTTTCGTAGTTTTTAAATATATAAATTTTATTTCTGCAAAACAGATCGGTATTTGATATAAAGATGAAAGAATAGTGATTTCACTCTCATTTTTCACGAGTAGAAGAATAGATTTTATGATTTTGAAGTTCTAAATATAGTATATACTATATTAATTCATTCGCACAAAAATAGCATGAACTCGTGAATATTTATCCAATGACTGAGGGGTTTCTAGTGTCACATCAAAGATTACTTTATTTTAAATATACAATTTTCGAAATATCATTTCGTAAATTAAGTGGGCAGTTGGACATAAGAATTATAAAATTCCAAAAAATAAAATATTTTTTTCAAGTGAAAATGATATCTGAAAATTAGAGTTGTATTAGGGCATGAATACAATTTTTGGTTGTTTTTGAATTTTTATGAGTATATGAGTGGAGATTTTGAAAAACAACTTTTTAGAGTTTTCCAAATTTTCGAAAAATTTTAAAATTCATCATCAAAGTGAAAATTGGAAATTTTATGACCAAACAATGATTTCAATAAAAAAGTGAAAAAATTTCGAAAAAAATAAAAAAAAAATTCATGGCCAAACAAGCTATAGACTCAAGAATTTTAAGATACTTACATGTTTTTAAATAGTCTACTGGAGAGTAGCTTGTTGAATATAGCAGGATAGATAGTGCAGCTGAAGTCTGGGATTATGTTATTTTAAAAATCTTGAAAACCTCCAAATCTAATTATTTTAGACATTCATTTATTNATATATATATATATGTTTAAGGGCTGTGCTCGGACGATTCAAATTATGTCGTTTTTAATAAGAAGTTTCGAGTTCGAGTTCGAGTTCGAGTTCCGAGATAGAAAAAATTATTTTAGGAATCGTTTGACGGTCTTATGTGACATGAATGCGAACTAATCGAGATTTCAAACTCTTATTGAATATTGAATTGATAAATAAAAAGATATCTTATGTTCCATTTGTCATTGCTAAAATGGGATAATTGAAAGTTCATGTACCGATTTTAAATTCGGTGCAAGTTTAGGTGGTTCTAAGGTAATTTTGCCTTTTAGATTTCAACAGTTTAGGTCCTAAAATACATTGTCTTTTTCAGACATCCAAAAATTACTGATTCCAATAACTACTAAAATTAAGTACTATCCAAAAGAGCTTTCTTCACTAAAGTGAAGTTTATTTTCTTGGATTAAGCAATGCAGAATGTTGTCCTACTTTTGAATTTGTCTGCGACTTTATTTGTTTTATTTATTTTTTTATTTTTTTTGTTAATAATTGTTACTAAAAATTTTGAGCTTTGTATAATGGAAAGATGAGGTAAGCTAAATACAAAAGAATTTTTTTAAAAGAAATATTAGCGTACTTTAAAAAAGCTTTAACAAATAATAAGGGATATCAAAGATAGCAATTTTTTTTTTTTGGAGTTGTTAAAATGAAAGAAAAATACATGAGATTCGATTATCCTAACTACTCAATCTAAGAAATCCAATCTGATGGTTCTTTGGTGTTCCTATTTTCTTTTTAATAAATAAAAGTGTCATTTTTTTTCTCTAGTTGTTGTAAATTATAATTTTAGTTGTATTATGTACTTAGATATAAGTTCAATGGAACATTTTATTTACATATTTACGTCAAATAAAATAATAATAATAATAATAATAATAATAATAATAATAATACAATTGTTATTCACACATATGTTTATCACTTAATTATAATTAAATAAGATATAAAATATTTTTTATTTTATATGAACACCATAATGAGTATTTATCCGTGTTCTAATTTCATCAGTAGCATATTCAGTATTTGAACTTTATAAGTTCGAAGTTTTAAAATAGCGACCTCCAATGTTAATATAAATTGTTAGTGGAAATTTTAATAAAAATACAAAAAATTAAACCAAAATCATTAAATTCCACATATAAATCCCATAAAAAATCTTCATTTCTCCACCTTTTCGTCCCATAAAATTCACCGACAATCCCAACCTAAAATTAATAGGAAAAATAAACATTAAAAAAATATCCAACCTTACTGGCTTTAAATTTTTATATTTTAGTAGTTAAAACCACACTCGTTTTTCTTCAATTTTATATTACTCCTACTTAAGTAGCCACCATCAATTTGTTATATATATTTTATTTTGACAATAATTGTTTAAAGTACCAAAATACAGCCGAATCCATCAAATTCATACTTCTTTCCCAATTCCCAACTAGTATTTCTCTATCTTCCCAGCTCACAAAACACACACACACACACTCCCTCCCTCTCAAAAAGTAAACTATGAACATGATACCCACTCCTTAAGAACTGAAAAAAACACCAAATCTGAAATATTGAAACCTCAAAACCTATTTGGGGTTTTGAGTTTTCCTGTTAAGGAAAAAAAATGAGCTCAAAAATCTTAATTTTCTTCACCATTTCAATTTTCTTGATTTTCCGGCCGACAACCTCAGACATTGTTTCCGACCGTTCAACACTTCTTTCAATCCGATCTGCTTTACGTGGCCGTTCACTTTTATGGAACATATCAAGTCCGACATGTTCTTGGCCCGGTGTTATTTGTTCACCGGACAAATCCTCAGTTCTCGAACTTCATCTCCCCGGAATGGGACTTTCCGGCCAAATCCCACCTGGTCTTTTCTCAAATCTCACTAAACTAAACTTCCTTAGTCTTCGTTACAATGCACTTTCCGGCGTAATTCCGGCCGACTTATTTTCTCCATTAAAAGACTTGAAAAACTTATACCTTCAGCATAATCTGTTTTCCGGTCCGGTTCCCGATTCGATTTTCAGTCTTTCTAATCTTGTCCGGCTCAATCTTGCTCATAACAATTTCTCCGGTCCAATCCCTTCTTCTTTCAACAATTTGACTGGTTTAGGTACACTATACTTGCAGGATAATGGGTTTTCGGGTCAAATACCGGATCTGAATTTACCCGGTTTAGTTCAGTTCAATGTGTCAGATAATCAGTTAAGCGGGTCAATTCCTAGTAAACTTTCGGGTCAACCCAAGGATTCTTTTTTGGGTACTTCACTATGTGGGAAACCACTGAATTCATGTGATAATAATAATAGTAATGGAGATGAAGGGGGAAAAAAGAAGAAACTTTCAGGTGGAGCAATTGCTGGTATTGTAATTGGTTGTGTTATTGGTTTGCTTTTGATTCTTTTATTACTGTTCTTTTGTTGTTGTCGGAAAAGGAGTAACAAAGAAACAACAAGATCTGCTGACGTGGCAGGTGTTAAAGAAGTTGGAGTTGAAATTCCTGAAGAAAAGGGTGTTGAGAATAATGGTGGAAAAGATGGATTTTTGGGTAGTGCAATTGCAGCTATAGGAGTTGGAGGGGGTAATAAAGATAAAGGAAAAGCTGAGGCAATTGTTGGAAATGGAAAAAGTTTAGTATTTTTTGGAAAAATGAATAAAAGTTTTGATCTTGATGATTTATTGAAAGCTTCAGCTGAAGTTTTAGGAAAAGGGACATTTGGTACTGCTTATAAGGCTGCATTAGAATCAGGGATTACATTGGTTGTGAAAAGATTGAGGGATGTAACTGTACCTGAGAAAGAGTTTAGGGAAAAAATTGAAGAAGTTGGAAAGTTGAATCATGAGAATTTGGTACCTTTAAGAGCTTATTACTATAGTGGAGATGAGAAGCTTCTTGTTTATGATTATATCTCAATGGGAAGCCTTTCTGCACTTTTACATGGTAAGAAAATAGTAACTTCTTTTCTTTGCTATGTTGTTTGGACTATACTTATGATACTGTTATTATTTCTATGGTTTCTGTTGATATATTGTCTTTTTTCGTCTTCTTGAGTCGAGGGTCTGTCGGAAACAACCTCTATGCACCTTGGAGTGGGGTTAAGGTCTGCGTACACTCTACCCTCCCTGGACCCCATTGGGATTTTACTGGTTTGTTGTTGTTGTTCTTCAGACTCTTGAAAGTCATCCGGTGCTTGTCGGATCCTCCAAAAATAGTGCATTTTTGGAGGATCTGACATTGTCGTGACAACGTTTTTTTGGAGAATCCAAGCAACATTACAGTATAGTAGTGTTTTGCTGATACTGCTACTTTTGCTGATTTTTATGAGGGTAGTAGTTTTGGATAGTATTTGTTTTCTTGGATCTTGTTATCTGTTCTTGAACTGGTGGTAATGTGTAAAAAGTTGCTGAGTTTGGCTGATGTGCTGTAGTTGAATTTCTTTTCGTCTCTCGTAAGTCAAGGGTCTGTCGGAAACAACCTCTCTACCTTCAAAGTAGGGTAAGATCTGCCTACACACTACCCATCGCAAACGGCACTTGTGGGATACACTGGTTTAGTTGTTGTTGTGCTGTAGTTGAATTATTGTGCCCAAATGTGTTCACGAGATGCATTTTAGAATAGGTCAAAATGCAGTTTTTTTAAATATTGGAACGAGGACCACTTTGGCTCAACCACTAAAATCAAGCTTTTCTTGTTTTCTTTTTGTCTTTAGGTGCTGAAACTTTCAACTTACACTGTCAACTTTTGGTGTGAACTTGATCTGTCATTGAAGCATGTTGCTACATTCTGCATATTTAATCTTATCTTAAAATAATATGAAAACATTGTGCAAATGAATGTGAAATTTGACATGTTATAATACAAGTTAACCTGGAATGGCTCTATAATCTGCAGTTTTTGTAGAGAAATTAGCTGTATGAACTCTTATTCACCATTTAGATTAGAAATTACGTTTTATTCACAAATGAATCTGAATTTCTTTTGACATGTAAGGAGTATAGGAAGTTGTTTCCAACCTGCATATATGTGAATGACAGAACAAGTGAGTTCCGTCGCGCAATTAACCTGGTTGTATGAATTTAAACCAAATTAACCTCTGTTTGATAACATATCAACTACTACGACAACAACAACTGTGCCTCCTTATATGAATCCCCACTGTCCATGTCGCGCCGTTTAAGCTCATCTCAGTCCAATATGATAGGATTGGAACGAGCTTAAATGGAGCGACATGGACAGTGAGGGTAAAAAGATATGAATTATTTGGGTACTTTACTCGGCATATCTCCATTGTATGACTGTCAGTAAGAAAGTAGAATTATTTGCAACTTTCATGTCATAATAGTTTGTCATTCACCTTGTCTTTTCTATAGGCAACAAAGGAGCAGGTAGGACACCATTGAACTGGGAAACAAGAGCTGGCATTGCCCTTGGAGCTGCTCACGGGATTGCCTATCTTCACGCACAAGGCCCCTCCGTTTCACATGGCAACATTAAGTCGTCCAACATCCTCCTCACCAAATCATACGCGGCCCGTGTTTCAGATTTTGGCCTTGCTCAACTTGTCGGTCCATCATCAACTCCCAACCGAGTTGCAGGTTACAGGGCACCAGAGGTAACCGACCCTCGTAAAGTCTCCCAAAAAGCAGATGTCTACAGCTTTGGCGTCTTGTTGTTGGAACTCCTAACGGGGAAAGCTCCCACCCATTCTTTAATGAATGAGGAAGGCGTAGACCTACCAAGATGGGTGCAGTCAGTGGTACGAGAAGAGTGGACAGCTGAAGTCTTTGACCTCGAACTANTTTCTAATGGTCCAAACAACCTTATCAAAATTTGGAAGGACAAAGGTAGACGGATCCAGAATTTAAACTTTATGGTTGCCGAACTCTATGGTGAAAGGCTACCTCCAACCCTTGACTAGACTTATATGTCTTTTTCAGTCCCATTTGTAGTTTGATCTGGTACGAGGTATAAGGGATAATTAATCCCGAGATTAAATGTGAGATGAGTTTATCTCACGTTTGGTTGGGATAAAATCGTGGTATAAGTAATCCTGGGATTAATTATCCGGGATTGTTGTGTCTTTCTATTCTCATGGGAGGGTAAGATAATTAGCCGAAATTGTTAATCTCCGGAATAATTAATCATGGGATAACTTGTTTGCCAACCAAAACACCACTACATGTGTTTTCACCATTTCTTTAATACCAGCAAACTGATATTAGTATTGCAATTGATTAAGACTTTTGTCAGATTTTGAGTCTAATTAGAGTAACGTAATAAACTTAATAATCTTATTTCAACTTAGACGTCAAAACAGAGTAAAGCATACTAACCACTGTCACAATTTAATGTAATATGGAGTTAGGAGAGATTATTTTGGCTTGTGTAGTTAACAAAAAAGACATCATTCCAAAATGTTAACAAGTCTGAAAACGATTTTAAACTACTTCCCACCAGACTAAGTTAAATTAGAAGCAAATTCAAGGTCTCTTTCTCGGGTAAAAGAAGTTCACGACCCGTGGGCCTTCTACCTCCACGTGGCATTGCTCCATCAGACTTTCGTCCATTGAAATTCCCCGTTGGGTCGTGTCTCAATTCTAGTGTGGCTGATCATCTTCTTGGACTAGCTACTTATCATCGCATTGGTAAGCTATTATCTTACCAACTAGCTAATCAGACGCAAGACCCTGACTAACTATATACACACACATATCTACACTTTTAGTACCCGTAATGTGGTATAATGATCGATGAAATTGGTGCAAATCTTATAGCCTGTTTGGCCAAGCTTATTTTTGGCCAAAAGTGCTTTATTTTGCCCCAAAGCACTTTTGGCCAAAAATTGAGGTGTTTGGCCAAGCTTCTGGAAGGAAAAAAATGTTTTTGGGGAGAAACAGAAGCAGAAAAAGTAGCTTCTCTCCAAAAAGAACTTTTTTGAGAAGCACTTTTGAGAAAAATACACTTAGAAGTAGTTTTTTAAAGCTTGGCCAAACACTAATTGCTGCTCAGAAGTGCTTTTCAAACTAATTAGCCAAACACAAACTGCTTCTCATCAAAAGTACTTTTGAAAAAAATACTTCTCAAAATAAGCTGATTTTTGCAGCTTGGCCAAACGGGCTATTAGAGACCAAAGTTCAAGTTTGAGACAAAAAAAACATTAATTTTAATGGAGGCAAAATATACTAGCTGAGTTCCACCTAACCCTTGGTCGGTAAAAACTATCTGGTAATTAGTTACTACAATAGTCGAGGTGCGTATAAGCTGACATCAACATCACCTTTATAAAAAATAAAAATAAAAAAAGATATATGTCCCTACTTTTGTAGGTTTATATCATCACAAGTTCCCCACTGACAGGGTTATTATTCTTGAAGTTATGAAAAATATTTGCTTTTGAGTAAACTAATAGTTGATCAAAAGGTCCTCTTTATCAAAATAAGAGAAAGGGTTAAGATCTTTAAAGTTCACTGAAATGAATGTATATAAAGAGCATGACACACATCAAGTACCAGGAAATTGTTTTGTACCAAATGATTTTATTTTTTCCCCCTTTGACCCCTAATTAATACTTTAATACCAATATATATATATATA